CACATAACAACAACCACAACACACTGACACCGGAACCCTGCTAGTGCCGTGGTTATGTGCTCGGCTGTTATCTAGAAATGGGCAGCTCAAACCAACCAAAGGCCCCAAGGTGAAAGACCTGACAACCTCCTTCATGAAGATTATAGTCAAGAAAACCCTATGGGGCAGTTCTCCTCTCACTCAGGGACCCCTGCAAGTTGGAGTCAACTCCATGGCACATAACAGCAACACGGCATGTCCCCATTAACATAACAAAGAGAACCTCCATTCCCCAGTGGGATCACATCCACAGGTGTGTTGATGTTAGGTGCTGTCAAGTCAGCTCTGACTCATGGCGACCCATGTACAGCAGAACGAAACCCTGCCCAGGCCTGTTTCAGCCTCGTGATCCCTGCTGTACCTGAGCCCATTGTTGCAGCCACTGTGTCGGTCCATCTCATTGAGGGTCTTCCCCTTTTTGTGTATCCTGAACTTTACCAAGCATGACATCCTTCTCCAGGGAATGGTGCCTTCTGACAACATGACCAAAGTAGGTCAAAGTCTGGCCATTCTCACTTCCAAGGAGAATTCCAGCTGCACTTCTTCCAGGACAGATGTGTTAGTCCTTTTAGCAGACCATGGTACTCCTAGCATTCTTCTCCAACACCATAACTCAAAAGCATCAACGCTTCTTCGGTCTTCCTTATTCATTGTCCAGTTCTCATATGCATATGAGTGATTGAAAATACCATGGCTTGGGTTAGGGGCACCTTAGTCTTCAAGGCATCTGTCCACCATGGGTGACCCTAGTGGTATTTGAAATATTGGTGGCATAGCCTCAAGCCTCACAGAAACACACACCACCACAGTATGACAAACTGACAGACACATGGTGGTCCACAGGTATAGGGTTAGGATTCCAACACATATTTTGAGGGACATGATGAAGGTGAGAGGCTACAGCCTTCGGTGTGGATTACACCTCAACATAAAGAAAACAAAAATTGTCACAACTGGACCACTAAACAACATCATGATAAATGGAGAAAAGATTGAAATTGTTACGGTTTTCATTTCACTTGGATCCACAATCAATGCCATGGAAGCAGCAGTCAAGAAATCAGACATCGTGTTGGACTGGAAACGTCTGCTGCAAGACTGCTTTAAAGTGCTGAAGAACAAGGGTGTCATTTTGAAAACTCAGGTAGGTCTGACCCAAGCTGTGGTCTTTTCTGAAGTCTCATATGCATGTGAAAGCTGGACAACGAATAAGGAAGACCAAAGAAGAGTAGATTAATTTGAATTGTGGTGCTGGAGAAGAATGACAAATCCGTCTTGGAGGAAGTATGATTGGAATGCTCCTTAGCAGCGAGAATGGCCAGACTTTTCTCTCATACTTTTGTCATGTTGTAAGAAGGGACCACTCTCCGGAGAAGGGTATCATGCTAGGTAAAGCAGAGGGTCAGTGAAAAAGGGAAGACCCTCAATGGATGGATTGACACAGGGGCTGAGACAACGGGCTTGAGCCCAGCAAGGACTGGGAGGGTGGTGCCGGGACTGGGCTGTGTTCTGTTCCGTTTTACACGGGGTTGCAGAGAGTCAAAACCCACTTGACAGCACCTAACAACAGATCAATCCGTAACATTGTACTGTAGATTTTGTCCTGTTTTTCAATTTTTGAAATAATTTATTTTATTTTGATGATAATATACACAGCAAAACATATGCCACTTCAACAATCTCTGTATGTCCCATTCATTGTCATGGACCACGTTCTTCAAGTCATACCACCAATGTCATAATCCTTTTTCAAATTATTTCTCCACTGTCCATGTGAACTCACGACCCCTAAGTTTTCCTGTCTAACCTTTCAAGTTGCTGTTTTCAATTTGATGGCATAGAGACAGTTATTTAAAAGATCAGGATGTTCAAGGCAGACATTGCTTATGAATTAAGCTAAAAGGTTGGTTGGTTTGAAGAAGGCTTGAGGGGATAGTATTGGTTTAAGGTTTAAAGACTGTCTCCGAGTTGAACTCTTGCTCTCGTCACTGTGTTTTTCAGATTTCTCCCTGTTGCTATGTTCTTTTAGTTCACGGCTTCTGTGTGAAGCACAGAGTTCCATAGGAAGTCATCATCACATTTCTTTGTCTCTTCCCCTAGTGATGGACCCACAGGCCGTGTCCAACTCCCTGTTGCTATAAACAGTGCTGCAATGAACATTCATTATGTTTCTGCATGTTTTTTTTTTTTCCTTCAATGTATACCCAGATGTGACATTGTTGGTGTGGTAGTTAAGGTTATGTGTCAACTTGGCGAGGCCTGGTTGAGTGGCTGGGCAGCTGGATGTGGTATTCCCCATGATGAGACTGGTCATCAACTCCATGGTGGAATCTACTGTGAGCAGCTGAGTAGCTGCCTTAGGGATGTGGTCTGCTTCCTGTATAGAAGGAGGAGCCTTGGGGAACAGTTCCTAGCTGCTGGCATGCTTGAACCCTGCATGTAGCAGCCTGCTGTGCTCTGCTGACCTTGGGACTTACAATGGACTTGAATTAATGGCCTGCCGTGTGGTTTGGTAACATCGGGACTCTGCCTTTTTACTTGTCAACCTTGGGCTTGTCAGCCTCAGCAGCCAGCAGCTGCCTGAGTGAAGAAAAGCTCTGGTGGGCTGGGAGCAGGAGGCTGAGCTGAAGCCCAAGATTGAGGGGCTTTCACCCAGCCCCTAGAGCCTGACACTTTGAACTTGGACTTAAAGCCTCCAAAATTGTAAGAGAATAAACTCCTGTTTTTTCAAGCATCCCATTGGTGGTCTGTTCCTGTCAGAGCAGCCCTAGGAACCAGAGCAGTTGGGTTACGGGATGTGAACATCATTCCGTGAGGTGTGTCAGAGTGCTTTTGGAAAACCAGTACCGGCACACCTGTTTCCACTCCTTCCACCAGTGCTTGATACTCTGTTTGGAATATTTGCCAGTCTAATTGATCAGAAGTGCTAGCTCCCTGCTGGTGCAAGCTGCTTTTCTCTGGTCCCTGAGGAGCAGTAGCATCTCTTCAATGTACTTGCAAATCATTCAGGCTTCCTCTTCTATAAATTGACTATTCACGTCCTCTGCCCATTTTTCAACTGGGTGGTCTATGTTTTGTGGCCGACCTGCAGGGAACCCTTGTGTAGCCTAGTCATGAATCCTTTATTGATTTTAGATTTAGGAAATCTCTTTTCTGAGTCTGCTAGCCTTCTGTTACCTGAGTCTTGGTGTCTTTGGTTGAATAAAGCAAGTATTCATTTCTTTTTTTAAAAAAATATAATTTATTTTATTTTGTTGTTGAGAATATACACAGCAAAACAGCCACTAAGTCAACAATCTCACATGTACCATTCGGCGACATGGATCACATTCTTCTAGATGTACTACCATCCTCACCCTCACCCTTGCTTTCAACTTAGAGACATGAACCCATTACCCGCTCAGCTTCCTATCCCATTTCTCCAGTTGCTGTTGTCTACTTGATTCAATACAGAGCTTAAAAGAAAGCAATGGTCAAGGCAGACATTCTGTACTAGTTATGCTGAACTGTTGTTTGATTTTAAGAAGACTTCAGGGCATAGTTTCAAGTTAGAGTTTTAAGGTTTAAAGATTATCTCAGGGCAATTGTTTTGGGGAGTAATCCAGGCTCCATAGCCCCAGAAAGTCTGGATTCCATGAGAATTTGGAATTCTGCTACATTTCCCCCCTTTTGATCAAGACTCCTCTATAGAACTTTCAGTAATGGAAGCTTGGCATCCTCTAGTTCTGGTCTCATGGCAAAGGAAGCAGCTGTTCGCGGAGGCAATTAGCCACACATTCCATTCCCTCTTCCTGTTCCTGACTGGCTTTCTTCCTCTGTTGTTCAGACACATAGAGACCAACTGTTGTGCCTTGGGTGGGAGTAGCCATTTCTAAGTCCACTTGACCCTCACGCTGTATGAAGGGGTGAGGAAAGAGATTACTGTCGTCTTGTAGGGAGGACCAATGGCCCTTTCCTGGCCACAGATGTGGACCTTGAAGCTCTGGGCTGGAATCTCGGTGCCTGGATGTCACCGTTGGTAGTTGCCATCGAGTTGACCCTAACTCCTGGCAATCCCGTGGGGACCAGACCAGAACTGTGCCCCAGAGGGCTTTCCAGGCCATGACCTTTTGGAAGCAGATCAATCCTGTCTTCTGCAGCTGCTCTGGGATGATTCAAACCAATCTTCTGACAAGTCATCAAGTGCTTAACCGTTTCACCACCAGGGGCCCTGGGTATTGCATGGCAAGTGGCCTTTATATCTCCAAGCATCACTCTTCTCCTCTGCATACCAGGGATACTCGTGCCATATTTTAGACTGCTATGTTGAAGGAAGGAGCTCTGGTGGCATAGTGCCTAAGGCACTTGACTGCTGACCAGAAGGCTGGCGGTTCAAACCCACCAGCCACTCCTCAGAAGGAAGGTTGGGAAATCTATTCCATAGTGATACTGCCTCAGAAACCCAAGGAGGGATTGATATGAGTGGGGACCGACTCGACGGCACATAACAACAACACCGTGTTGAAGGAGCTCTAGCGGTGTAGTGGTTAAGGCATTCAGCTGCTAACCATTAGGTCAGCAGTTCAAACCTCCTGGGTGCTTTGTAGAAGAAAGATGAAGCAGTCTATTTCTATGAAGACTTACAGCCTTATGGAAGTGAGTTTGGTTGGGTTTTGGTGGGCTGTGTTAAGTGATCAGTCTTTGAGCTTGCAGAAACCAAGAAGCTAAGCCCACTGCTGTCAGCTGATTGACGTTCATGCAGACCCCACATGTTAGAGGAGAACTGTACTGCTGGGATTTCTTGGCTGCGATCTTCGGGGAGTCAGGTCACCAGACCTTCCTGCCCTGGCACCGCTGGGTGGGTCTGAACCACCCACCTTTTGTTGATAGTCATCCGCATGCTGTTTGTGCTACCCAGGGCCCACCATGCACAGGGGCCCGTGTCATCCATCACCTCCCTTCTTTCTCTCCTGCTCCCACAGAAGCAAACTGTACCTACTTTAAATTCTTCACCACGGGCCAGAACGCACGCATCTTCCAGAGAACCACAAAGAAAGGTGAGGCTTGTGGGGGAGTGGGTAGGCGGTAACACTGGTGGGGTTTGGATGAGAGGGTGATATGGGGGTGACCCAGAGGAGTTTGGAAATTTAACAACAATCAGGTTGGTGATATGGGGGTGACCCAGAGGGGCTTGGATGAGAGGGTGATATGTGGGTGACACAGAGGAGTTTGGAAATTTAACAACAATCAGGTTGGTGATACGGGGGTGACCCAGAGGGGCTTGGATGGATGGTGATTGCAGACAATACTAGAGGGGTCCCCTCCTCTGCTTTGTCCCAGGACAGGCTCAGCTCCTCTCTGCTGTGAAGCCCCATCTTTGGGGGTCATGGCAGCGGATTGAGGGGGTCCTGGCTTCCAGAGCTCTGTCCCTGACTCTCCCCCTCCTGCCTCCAGCTTTGACAGCCACTGTGTAACTTTTGGCAAAGCCCAGCCTGTCTCTGTGGGTAGTGACACATTCCACAGATGTGACTGTCACCCGCTAAGGCCAGCGCTGGTCGTCTCACTGATAAGATCCCCCATCTCGCCCCAACCCTACAGGACAAAGCTTGACCTTAATCTTCCAGATGAGAAAACACAAGTCCAGAAATGGTTGACTTATTTTTTTTCCCAGGAAGTGGCACAGGCAGAGACGAAACTGAAATAATTCTCTGAAGCTACTCTGTCCGGTAGAACCTCAGGGAAAGGGAAGTCGTGTCTGTCTGCTCAGGCCACGATGGTAGCCGCTGCCCACGTGTGGCAACTGAGCACTTCAAATACGGCTGGCACCACCGAGGAGCCGATTGTTGTTAAATTTCAAAAATGTTATTGTAGAACATTCCAAACAGAAACCAAGACTAGCACGATGAGCCCTCCGTGTGCCCACAACTGAGGAACTGACTTAATTCGAACTGAATCCATTTAAACGTCAAAGGCCACACAGGGCTCGTTGTAAGTTGCTGTCCGCGGACTCGCAGCCACCCCACGTGTGCAGAGTAACTGCCGGAGACCATTTCCCGGGCTGCGCCTTTCCGAAGTACATTCCCAGCCCTTTCTTCCCACACACCTCTGAGTGGGTTCCAGCCTCCAACCTTTCTGCTAGCAAAGGAGCGCTTACTTGTTCGTGCCATCGCAAACCAAGACACCAAACCCACTGCCACGGAGGCGATTCTGACTCCTAGCGCCTCCCATTGAGTTTCCAAGGCTGTCACTCTTCATGGAAGCACATTGCCTCATTTTCCTCCCATGGAGCAGCTGGTGGGTTTGAACCACCGACCTTCTGGTTAGCAGCCGGATGCCTTACACCCTACCCCACCAGAGCTCCTTCTGCATCCCCTGGGGGTTCTTCATTTAAATCAGTTTAAATTTGAAAGGTCACACGGGGCTAGCAGCAGTCCTTTCAGGTCTAACCACGGCCTCAGCCTCACCTGGATTTCTCCCTCCCCAAAGGATCTGGCTGTTACCTATACCACCTCTTCTTTGCAAGGTTCAGCCATACAGAGCAGGTCCTCAGTAAATGGAGTCTGTCTCTCACAAAGGCGCTTTGCTGGCACAGTGGTTAAAGCACTCTGCTGCCAACCAAAATGTGGGCGCCTCCAACTCACCAGGCGCTCTGCAGTAGAAAGATGGGCAGTCAGCTTCAGTAATGATTGACAGCCTTGGAAGCTCCGTGGGGCAGTTCCACTCTGTCCTCTAGGGGC